GATCGGCGTTCGGAGAAAGAGCTGACTCTCCTAACGTCTTTGATCCACGTCTTTCAGAGTCGCAGAGGTTAGCTACGGCTTCCGTCTGGTCCAGCATTTCCCATGTGTCTTGGGCGTTGCCGGGTCTTCATGGCCACATAATACGGCAGCGTGATGACTTCCACGAAATGTGACTCGCGCACTGAATGAGCTTGGATCTCCCCGAAAATATGCGTTTGCGTGCCTTTCGGGACCTTGAAAATTGCGATGTCTTTGGCTAAGGCATGCTTCTGGAGGCCAAATCATCCTAGGCAAAACCCTCACCAACATCGTAGAGCTTTTCAAACCGTTGAAAGTGTTTATATTCAATAGAAATTTTGCAAAAAACACAGCCCAAGTCAGATGTGGCGGACGTAGCCATTTTCAAAGTGCTCATTGCATACAGAGCCGAGACCTGCTTCATATTGAGGAGCATCTCCTCGAAGTATTTCTGAAGGAAGAAGCGGCGGTGATTTCCAACATCAAAGGTCGGGTACCCGGCGATAAGAACGAAGACGACAATCTGGATAGATCATTGCGTGAACTCGATCGTCTCTTGCACGAACGGAGCAGGATGCTTGAGCAATATTCACAGCCTCGCGGAAACATCTATTATTCTCAATGCCTTCAAGCAGCTTTTCATGCAGACAACTGGAATTCCTGTGCCCTTCTGTGTAATGACAAGAAGCAGGGAAAAAGGCAGCCGAGTATAAGAGGAGCGGCTCAAATCCAGAAAAGCCTCTTGGGCGCAGAGGGGCGCAGCCCAGTCACATCTCATCTTGGCCGTTTCTACCAGATTGTGGGGCTAGCCTTCAAAGTTAGAATTGACACTAAACTGTGGTTGCTGATCACCGAAAGAGTGGCAATCAAACGAGTAGAGAGCTTCCCAGATGCGGGACTGGAAGAACGGCGCTTAGCTTGCGGGGAAGGAAAGGCATTCTGGACTTCCCAATGGCCGCAATGCGCAACCCGCAAAACAAATGATCGCCCATTAATTTGGGCCGGAAGCATGACTAAGCGGAACGCAAGAAGGCGGAATAGTTCGCAAGGTGACATTGGTAAGGCTCTCGCAAATGAGTGAATCTTCTCCCTGGCAAACATCACAAGGCAAGCAGAGAAGCAACAAGTATACGGCCTGAGTGCTACGTGTTCAGGATATATACTTGGAAAGACTTTCGATTCGTTTGTTTCCAAAGCCCCGAGCAGGAACACAGATTGGCAGGCGACAGAATAAAGGCTTACTTGGACGGCTTTAGGGCAAAGTTGAAGACGCCTGCCATGTGCTTTGGCACGGCCCATTTAAAAGCCACTCCTCACGGCCGTTCTTAATGGTAATCCAAATGCAGCGAATCAAAGAATAGAAGCAGCGAGGTCTTTGAATACTCCAGGTCAAGTTCTTTTTTAGAAGAGCTGGCTTGCAATTATTCCATATAAGCGCCACGCAAATTGTGCTTTCTATGGAACCACAGGAGGATTAAAAACTCATACCAAAGATTTTTACGGCCCGCTCGACAAATGATTAAGACTGATTCCGCGGCTTTCAAAAGGCCGCCGATCATCGCCTTGTCATCACCTGCGTAGGTCCTCGCGAGGGCCAGGCATATGAGTTCCGAAAGGAAAAGGTTCAGTTGTTGCTTTGGATGTCAGCCAAGAAGTCCATCGATTTCCCTTATAAAGCGCCTGTCAAAATTCGGCGACCGCGTTATATTGCCTCAGGTGGATCTGTCGAGACGCAGTACGTCGCAGAGGTTCCGAGGCTGCATAAGCTGCTCGAACGTCGTCCGCAAACTTCTACCACAGGTGCCAGAGGCGACAGACGCCGGCGGGATTATTGTTGCTCATCAGTCGCGGCCCGCGGATAAGTAACCCGCTCCTTATGCCCTCTACAATGAAAAACGTGGCGCAAGCTTCCGGATGCCGGCTCGAAAAAGCACGTGTACTAAGGGCGACCACAGAGGTAGTGCTGCCAGACTGCCCATAGATGGGTTTAATCATCGCCGATAATTCCGGTCAAAAGATTGAACTTAGAAAGTCGCTCCCGCGAAATACGCCAAGGTGAAGTGCAAACTTCCAGGGCAGCGGATCTTTATTTTCACCTTACCAAAGCTTGATAGGGATAAACTTTAATAGTAATAAGGAACTTAAGGTACACGAGTACGGGTGGGGTTAGTTTGGTGGTTAGGGTGGGTTTGGGTGCGGAGCAGGTCATTTTGTTCTTGGGGTTTTAATGTTGGTTAAGCCGAGAAATTGAGTACTTTCAGTACCTCAGATCCTTATTACTATTAAAGTTTATGGTAATAAAGCTTGACCATCTTCGGTTCACATGCATCTCAGCAAACATCTAGAGAAGTCGAAGAAATCTCTGTCGCGCAACGGCCGCTGCGATTTGGAAAAGGCGATACTGCAGTGTGACGCGGCTTGAACGAGTGGCAGCCAGCCGTTGCCCTGTAAGGCTCGTTTTATCAGGCTCGCGCTTGACGAACTTTAGAGTCTTACGATTGATATAACGAGATGCAAATTGAGAAATTTCTTACCGGAAAGAAAGGGCGAGTCTACTGAGTCTAGCACGATGATGAACTCGCTGAAATCAGTAATTGCTCATCGAAGGTTGGGCCCTCGACGGCTAGAGAACAGAGACTAAACCACTTGTGTGGCTCACCACAAACGACCGTGTCCTGCACGAATGGACCAGGGTTATCGAAGCGATCACAGCCTCAAAACATAATTAAAACCCTTTCTAAAGCAGATTTAAGTAAGTTTTAAACGACTTCCACTCTTATGCACACCCTGAGTAATCACATGAAGGAAAGAAGGAAGCCAAGCAGGGAAAGGGCGGCTCAGTGCCCGAAAAATTCCAATTGAGCTCGAAGTCGCGCAGCTCAGGTTCGTCGATCTTGTCTTGGCCGTTCGCCTTTGACCCTTGGACCAACACACGTAAGCCTGTATCAGAAGGTGGCAGCTGATCAACGAAAGTGTAACAAGAATACAAATATGAAGAGCGTCCTAGTCGGTTGAAAGGCGTCCGGGATACGATGCTAAACGGTTTTTTGAGCCAGCTCTCCAGCAGCCGCGGGTTGAAGTTTTGCAGGAAAGACGCTTCGACCATCGATCTGGGCTGAATATTGAAGGGACAAGCGCCATGCAGGCGGCAATCCGCGGTGTTGGCGTCAAAAACCCATGGCTCGCTAACGGCAGAGACGAAGCGAGCCATGATGAACCGATCATGGCCTAAAGCTACTTGCTCAGTATGTGCGGAATTTTTTAAATAAAAAAGCCTCAAGCAGCAACCCCGACAGATGAGCGAAGAAGGGCAAGCCTGCGCGAACAGCTTCAGAAGTTACTTCGATACCGGGAATGACCGGGATTGCCATTCCCGTGCACTTCATCAAGGCTGTTCTGATCTTCAACTCAAGATGCAACGGATTCACATCGCCAATCGAGCGAGGTCCCCGGTTATATCTTCTAGAAGAGGTTTCAACAGGACAAGCGGAGCTGGCATAATGTCGACTTTCCCCGGGTCCTTTGGAGCGTACAGCTAGTGAGTGCACGTCACATCCACCACTGTAGAAGCTCTCTTCCAATCATCTTTTTCGCCCCCCTGAACAAGTCCTCAGCTAGCTAAAAATGACAAACAATCTAATATTGCCGCCTAGCGTATACTACGGGCCGCCACGTGAATCACTGCCTGAATGTTTGGCAAGTGAAGGTGCCCAAAGACACCTATAAAAAAAGCCAGTAAAAAGCAGTCATCGCCAGCCTGTGTGCTCGAAGGTGACGTCAGCCCTATTTCGAATGTCAGCCAAGAAGAACTAACCTCCCTTACAACGCGCTTCCGAACGTGGGCGTCCGCGACGTCATGTTACTATAAGACTACGTACTGGTGGATCTGTCGAGTGGCGTTCCGGCAGTTTCAAGGCTGCATCGACCGCTCAGATGTCGCCGCAAACCTTCTACGACGCGAACTTAGGCAACGGAAGCAAGAGTCGCTGCCGGCGGATGATTCCGCCGGCTATAGCCAAATCCAACAGCAAATGATGTCGCACGCGTGATGGAATTGGCTCTGAAAGAGCATGTCGAGTGCCTGTGGCCGGCTGCCGCGAAACGAATCATGTGCTGCCAAGCGCTGGGCTTTATCATTGCCAATGAATGTTTGTACCTCAGTCACATAACAGCGTCGCAACCTGCAAAGCAGGCCGGCTGACGGACGGCTTCGCATTTAAGTCTCAGGTTTCCTCAATTCTCGATTCCTTCTCTATATCTGGGCGTGTGCAAATGAAGCGTATCAAATCGAAGGTCAGGCTGCACGGCCGGCACGGCCGGCCGCGAGCGCCAAGTGGGCGCGGCCGCGGCTCGAAGGGGCGGCCGCGATGCAACGTCGCGGCCCGCGATACATCAAGCCGCGGCCACAATCCACTATACCGCTTATTCATCAGCTTCCTAATTTGAAAGTGCCTGCCACCCGGTTTTTTCTGAGACATGAGGTTCTAACAGCTGCCTCTACTGACTTCTTTGGTCCACGTACTTCCTTCTGGACTACAGGTTAGCTCCGGCTTCCTTTGCAGAGTTCTGCGTCTCCCACGCATCTTGGGCCGCGTGGCCAGGTCTTCATGGCCACAGAGTACGGCAATGCCTTCCACGCAATTTTGAGTCAATCACGGATTGATCTGTTTGAACACGGTGCTAACAGATCAACTAAACGGGCAACAAATTGTGCCATTTTAACATACGTAGCTCTAGATCTGGGCAGCACCGAACGCAGCATTTCGTGAGCCAACGAGAATTGAAAAACAGGTATGGATGATGCAGCTTGAATTTCTCATACAGAAGTAGGTCGCACATCTAACGGTTAATACTTGACTCTTCATTGTGTCCGATGAGTGCGCTCTGCGCCGGGCCCGCTTTTCACCCCCACCAGCGCGCGCGCGCACGACGGCGTCTGATGCTTGACGCCGTCCAACGCCCCGGCATCGGCGAAGGCGCCAATGAACAGCCGGTGGGCGGTCGAGAGATGCAACGGTGTGACCGAAGCCCTGATCGACACTGAAGCGAAGCACCGCCAGTCGCACCGAAAGTGAGCGCTTATCTTCGAGCAGGCCGGGCCACAGCGCTTAGGAGCTCGAGCGTTAGCAGACGTCACTGAGGGACCGTGGAATCATTTAGTCAACGGCTCCGAGACTCTACCTCGCTGCAAAGATCTGGCGCACTGAGGATGAGCCAGAAAGAAGTGTCTTACATTGCCGCATCAGCCGACACGACAGGTCATGCCGCATCAGCCGACTCGAAAAGTCCAAGCGCGCTCGACAAGTCTAAGCGCGGAGCAACGCGCCTCAATGAAGTCGACGCACATGCTCCCTCGATTCAACAGGTCGCAAGGGATTCGGACAAGGTGCTGGCTTTGGCACAAGTTTGGGCACGTCCAAGCCATCTTCTGTGATGAGATCAAAGTCGAGAAAATCCTGTGTAAAGATCAGAGCAGAGTGACAGGCGTTTTGCAGGGCCAGAGCTTGGCCGCCGCGCGGACTCGCTGGGCGGCCGCTGCGTGATTGTCCGCGGTTTGAAGTCGCGGGCGCGGCCGCTCTGCCGGGTCCCCCCTTCCGCCCCCCCCAAGCGCGCACGCGCGCGCACAACCTGACGATTGAAACCGCCCCGGCAACGGAGAAGGCGCTGGAGAACGGCAGTGAGCGGTCGAGATGTGCAACGGTGTGATCGGGGCCCTGGTTGACGCTGAAGTGAGCCCCGCAAGCGGATTGGTCGTGGGCACTGATCTTCGAGCGGGGCGGGCCACAGCGTTAGAATCTCGAAGCGTTTGCAGTCACTGAGGGACCGTAAAACGATGTTATCAACGGCTCAGAGACTCTAACCTTCCTACACAGATCTGGCGCGCGCGGAGGATGAGCCAGAAAGAAGTGTCTTGCATTGCCGTATCTGGCATTAAACAATCCTGAGCGCGGAGGAGAAAGAGACGCACGGGCTCCCTCGATTTAAAAGGTCGCAACGAATTAGGGAAAACCAACAGCTTGCTCTTAATCGTGGACAACAAAGGTTTCCAAAGCCTGAGTAAGAGATGGCTTTGACCACTCTAACGTGGGGACTCTTTGAAATATTGCTGCAGCTACTCTTTGCAATGTTCCTACTGCAGCACGCGTGCAATCGACTTGTTGACGCTAGCCGCTCTCAGAGACGGGCAACATAAATTGCGAAAGTACAATCATAGAAAGACTGTCGCGAGATATGATACAGATTTCGGAGCTGACCTTAAAATCGGCTCGCTTGCCAGGACTCCAACTGGAGGAACGGAATAGATCCTCTGAAATTCAGTTCGTTTGCCCAGATTGGGGAAAGAATGGACTAAGGTGCAATAACGAGACATGAAAGTAGCGTCGCGCCGGGGCAGGGCCGTCGATCAAGGGAGCATTCAATAATGCCTCAGATAGACCGTTGCTTGGGATGCTGTTTCCATGACCCCAGCAGAAAATACCTTCATTGCCGGCATTGTCACATACCGTAGCGTTGTAGAAGAGGCTTGCAACCCCGCCCCTAACTCCGCCCGGTTGCTTGATGGAGAAGTGGTCGGGGCATTTTGGCAAGATTCGTTTGCAGGATAAGGTCCACTCAGAGACCGCCACCTGTCTGAGGTCGGAACTTTGGTGTTAGGGGCGGCTCGGCCCTCAACTATGTAGGCCGAGAGCTAATGTAGCTACCGGCTAGGCCACCGGGCATTTTTGCGTGACTGTATGTTAGCTGATTTAATTGCCCGGTCCAAGGTGCACCGCGCTGTTTCGACCGGCCTGGCTGTGTTACCCAAGATCGGAACACTCGACTGGAGTAGGTGATACCTAGGTGACATCAACGCCGAGTTTGAAATTGTGTATCCTCTTCAGGCAGGCGCGAAAATATTAACCGAGTCGCGTGCAACCGAAACTGAATCGACAGTGACCGTAGAGGCTTGTACGCAAAATTCGGTCGACCGTACGAGCATGTCGAATTTTCTGACATGGATGTACAAGGTGGCAAGTGCACTGCGCGCGCCGCGTGTCCAATATGTAACATATTTTGCGTGCGGCGGTTCGATTCGGTACGATGGAGTTGAGTTTCCGTACACATGGGGCGCGATTGACACCATCGGAACTCCACCATTTGGCTGAGGTTCTGCGCACCGTCGATACGAATATCCACGGTCAAAACCACCCTTATCCTGCAATCGAATCGACTTTCCAATCTGGCAGTGATAGCTTCTGCGGCCTCCGAGTTAGGGGCGGGGTCGCGACCTTCTTCAACAACGCTATGTGTACGTCCTTAATTGGCAAAAGCACTAGGTGGTCCCTCTCGAGTCCCCTCGTGCACTGATGTGATTGACAGACCTTCGTAAATCGAGTCCACATCAAGGATTAACGTACGCTTGTTGGCGAACAGCCTCATGCAGGCGGTCACCACGTTAGTCGGTGTTGTATAAGAAAGCTCGGACGGTGCGCATGCAGCCTTAAATGTCGGCCGAGGTATTTGGATCAGTCGGAATGAGCAAACCTGTGACCATCATATGCGATTTTCCAATTTCAGACACCTCACGTGTTGCCCTTGTGATTGGCCCAGCCAAATTGACCGTCCAAGTGAACTTCATACACTGAGGGCCGACTCGCGCTGCTGCCCCGCGGAATCAAACTCACCTAGAGCGACCGTGAGCGCGCAATTTGCTTAATTCCGGTTCTGGTCCAACTCAAATCTTTCAACTTGCGCTTAAATGCTTTTAGTTGAGGCGTCCGACACAACTTGAAGGTCTGTTCATTCCAGCTCGGAAAACAGTCAAGAACATTTCGAGCGAGCAAACTTGAAAGAAGTTGGACAGAACAACGAGTATGCATGCTGAAAGGCCACGGTTGCAGCGTCGGATTCAACAGTGACGGAGGCCTGGGCCAAACCCAGCACTTATTCGTCACGGCTGCCTCTGCTTGTCTGGCCTTCGTAGGCAACACGACTCAGAGTCGCGTATGGGCAACGACTAAAAGACTGCGCAGATACAAAAGACTGCGCAAGTGATTGCCGGCTTTCACGAGAACCGTGTCAAAACGCGTAGAGTGGACTGTCCGTTTCCGAACCCCAGTTTCTAGACTTTCTACATCTACCAAAATTTGCCATTTCTATGTTTCATACGTTAAGCCAAGTCTTTCTCAAAGCTCAGCTCTCCCAATCGACCAGTTCTCCCAATTTCTATGTTATCGCAATCTGCGACCTTTCAGATCCTGTAATCTAAAATCGACTTATCTTTTACAAATCGGACGTAAGCACTCGGAATCTGGTTTCCTTGGGGAGAGCAGCTACTTGTGCTTGAAGCGCACTTTCAGCAGGAAACGCATCCGAACCTGCAAGAACGGAAAGAGTCTTGATTCATTGTCATTGCTTGCTAACGGGTCTCCGAAACTTTTTTATGAAACGTACGTTCATACAGTCTTCATCCGACTGGTCAATTATTGGCGTGTTCTTGATCGAAGAAACCTTGCAAGGTTCGGATGCTCCTGCCAGGATGTGATAAGGGCGGCAGATTAAAGAGCTCACTTCAGCGTTCTGCTTTTGTCTGCCCGTCGGACCGGCGACCAGCCAAAAATACCATTGTAAACATACCGTCCGACCAGCTTTCGCAACAGCAGAGCCTTAGCAAGGCGCAGAAACCCATTGCGGTATCTGGTAGTCCACCAGCCACATCGACATGAAACTTGCCAAAATCCAGCCCTCCACATCAACAGTAAACATTCCGTGCAATCCACTTTCCTACTCACAGAAGGTCTCTCTCCGCAGCAACAGCTAAACGTCGAGACTCTGCCCAAACCCTATCAACGGACTGACCAGTTCCTTGTCCAAACACCTCTTTTAGATCAAAGTCGTTTCTTCTCACCTGCGAGGTATCGTACACAATGTACTCGTTGTACATGAGCTCCGTGGCGCGCACGTTGCTGGGCACGGGCTTGCCAGCTGGCACCGTGACGTCATCGTCCAGCTTGCGGAACTCGCTCCGGTCCGGGGCCACCTTGCCCAGGCCCTTGGTCGAGTGCTTGCCACGTGGCGCCTTCTCCATGTACTGTGCGGAGCAAAGGACACAACACTGAGAGACCGCATATGCAAATGGAGATGATTGCTCCTTGGGAGAAGAAGCGCTACGGTTTTCGATCCAACTGCAAATCACACCGGACCAGATTATTGTTCAACGTGCAGGTCTGCTCGCCAAAATAGGGTGCCTATACATCAGCAGAAATCATAGAACTCTGTAGCGACTGATCACAAGAACGGAGGACGCGGCGGAACGCAACGAAAGGGTGCAAATAACACATGACTTGACTGGACGGCAATCGTCCGCACCTGCGCCTTGCGTAGCTCGTGCATGTCTCCGAGGGCGACCTCGCACAGCAGCATGAGGCCGACCGGGCTGCCGCGCGAGGTGTAGCAATACTGCGCCGACTTTGACACCAGGTCCGCAAAGTAGATGCCCTTGCCGAACTGCACGCGAGAGGGAGTGTCAAGTGAGCGAGCCATGGTTGCTGCGGTGTTATTAGAAGACGTACGTGAGCTGTGCATGTGTGAACTTCATGCGAAGGCCGACTTGTAAAAAGAGACAAACGTTTGCGACGGACAAAGGCACCCTTAAAGTAATTGAAGTAAGCCTGTCGATATGGTTGTCACAGCCAGCATCCTCTTGCTCAATAACCGGTTAAGGCATCAAGGGCCGAAAATCTGCCGCTACAGGACCGTAGTTTGTAGGTCCTCGCAACGAGACTTCATAGCAAATTTTTGACGAAGACTCTTGACAAATAAGACACACAAGCTTTTCGAATGACTAACCTCTAAACGCTTTCTGAGCACGTACGTTCCAACGGCGCCGTAATCACGCCCAGGAACACCGAATTAAGAAGTTCAAGCATGAAGAACAAAACGGAATATGTAAAAGAAGCCTCAGAAACGTTAGCTCCTCACCATGTACCCCGTGACGGGTGCTTCCGGCGGTGCGATGCGCAGGCCCTGGCTGAGGATGCCGACGTAGTTGGAGGTGCGGGAGCCGTGCCACAGCAGCTGCTTGTTGGGCAGGCTGCTCTTGAAGGGCGCGTAAGCGGAGCCTTCGCCCGCGCGGTCCAGGCAGAACACGTCCTCCAGCTCCAGGTCCCACTCCTGAAAAAAAGAAGCAGATAATTTGAAAGCAATACCAGAAAAGCAAACGGCGCATACGCGAAACTTCTCGCGCACGGTCCAGGCAAACACGTCCTCCTCCAGATCAGATACCACTCCTTGGAAGTAAGGGGAGAGTTTGGATCTGCGTAAAGTGCAGGAGTTGACGGGGCAGCTCGAAGTCGGATTAAAATCACGTCTTTGGGTTACAGGTCCCACTTCTGGAGAGCAAAAGCAAGAGATTGGCGAAGCAAACGGCCACACGCGCAGTGGCAAAAGAAGTCCTCAAGCTCCAGGTCCCACTCCTGAAGGGAAGGAGAAGCTTGACGAAGAGTCATAACTGAGTCTGCGAAGATAACAATTCGACAACGGTGCAGCCCCCTTAGACCGAGGGAAAGTGCTCTTGAGCACAATCAAGACAAGAAGAGGAACGCTGCATCAAAGCGCACTTGCTGTGCTTCAAGAGATCCGTTTAATCAGAGGACTCCCTTCTTTTCCTCAACCACGACTACACGTTCGCCATCGCTCAGCGCCCGTCTGACGCACCTGTCAGCCGCCAATTCAGTATGCATGCTTGCCTTGGAAAGGGCATAACAGAAATTTTGGCTAAAACCTCTAACGGCTCATCGTGTGTGTTGGCGCATGCATCTCGTGCCGATTTCTCAAAAGCAAAGCCTTCGGAAGGGTTCGAAAGCAGAAGCACTTCAGAGGTCACTTTAAAGGAAGTTTACCTTGTGAATGGGCGGGTGCCTCTTGTGCCAGTATCCATCAAACCCCAAGCCCGCCTCCACAAAATATTAAAGTCCGAAGCAGAGCGCAGCTTCATTCACCTTGTGTGTTGGCGCGTGCGTCTTGTGCAGGTATTCTTCCACCAGTCCCCAGTTGGGGTGGTCCCGCGGCATGGGTTCCACGGCACATTGCAGCTGGCGGTAGTGCGCGTCCAGCGGGTCTTCTTCGTCGCCCTGGCTCGACAGGTCGCCGATCAGCCGCGACGCGATCTCGATGTCGCGCAGCGCCTCCAGCATGCGGATCTGCGGAGACGGTTGAAGGGTTGAAAGAGCAATCTTAAGGGAAGCTAGAAGGACGGAGCGAATGATACCCGCTAGGTGGCGATAATGTTGTCAGAACACGGTCCAGAACAGCAATATAACCCAGGGAAGCAATATGGTCCGGAGACAAGCAAGAACTCCGTGTGCGGTCGTGTGCGCCCAATTGATTGATTGGAAGGAAGCCTTCAGAACCATCCATTCCATTCCAGGTTTCAGTGGAAGGGCTGCAAAACAAGCTAGGGAAAAAAGACACGACTCGTTCATCTCGTCGCCCAAGGCCGTCAGCGCTTTGCGTGGTCCATGGACTCACGTACCACCACAAGTATGCTCATGCAGTATTTTCCGCTCGGTTCTGCTAACGCCCCTCGCTACTTCCGCTCAACTGCTTTCAGAGCTCCCAACATCAATCTCGCAAGCTTCCGAAGCTCCCACTCACCCACTTCGCGGATTTAACGATTCCGTTCCGGCTCTGTTCCTTTGTCCTCACCTTGTCTTTCAGTCTCCCCTCGTCGTTGATCGGGTTCGGGTGCATAGCTGGCACCAGCGTGTAGAAGCGGTTGCTGGCGTCCAATAGAAGGGCGGCCTGCCGATCCGGTTCGGTACTGCTGTCGTGGAGCAGGTTCTGGATGCTGGATAGGACCTCAAAGCCTGCAGGAGGAATGACGAGTTTCAGGAAACGAGCCGGTGCTCCGCCCAGACAAAGCACGGTAATCCGCCCACACAAGGCGTGCCTGATGCTCGCTAAGAACGGCGTCTTCCTCGACTTGACGCACAAATGACAGAGTTGAAGTGGTGCGTATTCTATTGTCGGGCTGGGTTTTTGAAGGGACCGCGAATGCACAGTGTTGGGCGACCAGTCTCCTCCTGAGACAATCTTCAAGACGGCCTTTTCTCAAAAAGTACATGGTGCACCAGAAATTCCACAGGGAAGGAGGAACGGTGTCTGGAGGCTGTAAGTAAGTCAACGCCACTGATTGGAGCCATTATAACCATTGGATCCATTGTCTGCGACCTTGCGTGAGCTTACAAGATCGTGACCCTTCGTCTGAACTTACTTTGAAGAGAACAAGCTGCCGGAAGTGCAGGAGAAGGAGTGACTCAGTCTGCTGAAGTGTTTCGCAGAAGAAAATCAACGAGAGCTGGAGTAAGCCGCAAACGAGACTGTGAAGAGTGGATGGCAGTCAAGGTTTCCGCAGCCAGATCAGAGGCATCCCCTCGGCGCTAGAAGAGTAATAGAACGCACGTTGCCGAAAGAAGGTGGCATTCGGAGTTCCAAGCGAGCGCCTGTAGGTGTAAACCTACCGCAGGTTCGTCATTGCCACCATTATCTCCCATGTGGTTTTCCCGGTCCGCCTTAAGAAGCACGGGAGAAACACAATCATTCGAACACCATATCCTTACGACGTGTGACAAACGGAGAGCTGCAAAAGTCGACTCCGAAACCAATCTGGATATTTTCCCTTGATGAGGCATATGCAAAGCTTGGATGAGGAACCATCTCTGTCGCTCTTGTGCCCAGAACATACCCAAGGCAGAACCTTCGCTTTGTTCGACTGGAACGAAAAAGAGCGGCAAGGAGGGAAACCGCCACAACCGGCCCCTTACACCCGGCAAGCCATGCTTCTCTCAGGATAAAGGAAAAGAGAGAGAAGGCCGGTAGAACGTGTTGCGTAATAGGGACACGTCCAGCATGGAAAGATTGAACGGCTCGAGTGCCCGGCTTTGTTCATGAGCATACTATATGACATCATGGCGGTTATACAGCAGGTTATATCAGTGTAGTGGTGGAACGGAAGGTGGCAAACGAAGGTTCCAAACCAGAAGCGTGCTTCATTCCAAGTGAGCTAGATTCACATTTCTGAATGTCGGAGCATATTGACTGAGCAATTGTTAATCAAGTGTACGTAGCTCAGATTGCACTTTTGAGTTGCGAAGTTGCAGAAATGTTTCCACACTACATGATTGAGTGAAGTCTTTCGGACAGAGGCGATCAACTCGAATGGACGTGTCTATGGCGTGCGCCAAGGCAGTACACAATCATGGCCACTCCAGCCCTTGCACTGTATCTTCCAAACCAAAGAATGTACAGGGACGGTATTAGAAGCGACTGCTAGCAACACAAAACCGACTGCGGCATTGGATTACCAACGTGTAGCAAGACTGGCTTTTCACAGTCGCCAGGCTCTTATTTCGTCACAACTACGTTGATGCAAATGACGAAAATGTAATGAATGGTCTGCAAGCAGCTAATGACGGGCGCTGCAAAATAATTTGAGGACGTACCAGCCACTGTACTGTAGACAAAAGTCAAGACCTCTCGACCCTTTGCCGACTCAGTTTTTCTAAGCTCCACTTCGCCTACGGCCACTTGAAGCTCCTCAGCTTTGACCTTTCGTGGTTTCAGGGGGAGGAACACAAGGAACGCATGGCTCACGATAAACGAACATAGCGTTGAGCTCGAAAGGAGGCAGAACGTGCTCAAAAAGAAGGAGCCCAGTATCGCTCGTCGACACGGATGTTCCGGATCTAAGCTTTTCCACAACCGGAGGACAACGGACGTGATACGTGTTGGACATAGGGGGCAACACAGGTTACGTTGGAACACATACGCCCACAATAGTGCGAAACTGCTCTTGCTTCCTGCAACACTTACTCTCTCGAAGAGGGTGGCAATCGATATCACTCATCACGTTGGCTTTGCGCCATGCAAGCATTGTCATCCTAGCCGCTTCGGCAGCGGCACGGCCAGGATGACGACAAGTAATGACGACTGCATTGCAACAAACGAAGGTCTGACAGCTAATTCGAGCTGCCCAAAACTGGCTGAAAGAAGTTCAAAACGTGTGGTGACTTCCCATGGGCCCGAATATTAGAGAGACAGAACGTAGAAGCTGGCAGAAACAAAGGGCGATGCTCAAGGAAGCTCCGGCCTACACTTTACCGCTTCAAATGCATGCTAAGCACAGACCAGGTGAACTGATGGGATACAGAGAACCATTGCCAAACCCCGAACAGACGAGGAGTAAGACGAGGAGTAAGACCAGAAGAATAGGCGCAAACTCCACAGATTATACCTCGGTGTTTTGGCAAAGCGAACGCAGAAACATGGTACGCAAAACGGAGGGCACAACAGTAACGAGGCAGGAGAAGAAGCATACTACACATTTTCAATCTGACTTAATTCTCAGCAGGACCGAAGTTGCTCACACTGCTCCGAGGCAAATCCCAAGACCCAACGGCCACGCAAAATCAAAGCAAGTGGAATCTGGCCGTGTCGAGCATCCTTTGCGATGGGTTAAGAAAAAGAAGAAAAAACCATGCCCAAGACTACAGGCGATTGCGGAGGCTGTTTGCATCCGATGGAAAGCAGAGCCGCTCTTGCTTATTGCAGCCAGAAACTCTCGAAATGGCCATCGGACGATGATTCTGGCAGTTGGCTTTCCGCTATCAATGGTTTACGTCATAGCCACCTAAGACGGGCACGGACAGAGTGAGACAAGACAGTAATTCAAGGCCGTCACCACGAGCGAAGGTCTGACCGCCATTGCACCGCTTTTGCAATCGCAGCTCTTAGACCACAGACTTCAACGTCAACGTGGGCAACCTTATGGAAACACAATTAGCGCTAAAAGGCGCAGCGTAGGCGACTCAGCTGCGTCTCTAGTTGGCCAAAATTTGCGATAGGAAAGGCCGCATGAATTAAAGCCAAACCTTGAAAGTTTCCCACAATCTTTCCTAAAGATCAGGAAAATGGGCAGCAGTAACCACAAAACAATTGGGGTCCCAGAATGCAGTCTGCACCAAAACAAGATCTAGGGAAAATCGAAAGGTCACAGGACTTCAGACGAGTCTTGTAGACCCGTTCGCAAGTGCACCCCTTGCAGGTGCGAGAAATGCTCCAAAGATGCTCCAAAACAAGGCACAACTCATGGGCTCATTTCAAACTTCGAGCAAGACCGTTGGTCTTCCACAAGACTGTTCCTGCTCAATCCACAAAGCAAGAAGGATAAGACGGAGGTGGCATCACCTTTCCAGAGCCAGACTGGCTTTCGCCATGTTGCACTTTCCATCACAGCCACCGCACTGTGCCGTCAGTGGTGTTTTGCGAAAGGGGCATTCACCCAGTGAAGACCGCCGTGACTAGCTATTAAAATGCTTCAACACAATCCTGCGGTTTTCTTAAGGATTCCTCGGTTTGAAGATAATTGCAAGTCTCAACTCCGACGATGTCCGGAGTAGAAGTACTCGTACGCGATCCGTTATCGAGCTTCTCTGGGAAGCGCTTTTGTAGAACAAGATGCAGCTTCGGTAATTGTCAAAGCAAGTTTCAGTTGGGACCCCAGAAGATTGGCGACCACCGAACCCCCTTGAATGCACGAGGTAAGTTGAATACCTCCGCACTTTACATTGAAAGTGACTGGACTATATCACCGTCCCGGTGCCGACCCAGGCTCGACCAGCAACCTATCAAAGTTTCCGTGTCACGTCAGCTCCTGACAATTCGAGTAGGAGGAAGACAAGAATAAGACACAAGTGATACAGTGCGCTCAGAAAGAGGCTCGCAGCAGCACTTGCTAGAAGGAACACATGACCCGCTAGTGGCAATTCAACTACTTGACCCTCGTGTGACTTACGCCACGCAGAAGGCTCATCACAGCCTCCAGAATTCCACAGTCGCACATTTAGCTACACACCGCCTACCCATGTGCCTTTCCGCACGCCATCATGAGACGGCCAAAGAAAGAGCACCGAAGCACTCGCTTAATCAGCGCCATTGACTTCTCTTTGAAACTCTCTGAAAGAACGCCAGCCAAATTCTCAAGTCTGAAACCGCCCCCACCTTTGGTGACCTGCTTCTTGGTGAGCTTTCCGAGCGGCATTTCCGAGAGGTTGATCTCGAACTCGAGCATGGTGGCCCGGTACGTCTCCAGGTCGAACAGCATCTTCATAAGCGACACCACGCGCGGGTCCAGCTGGCTGCGCGAACCGGGCGGCGCAGACGGGCCCGCACCTCCTTGACCCTCGTCTACGCCATAGTCCTGAGAGGAGAAATGGTGATTCGGTTTGTTAACCTTTCAGACAGGTACATTTTATGCCCTCCAACTATATTTTCGTTGAGCGCAAAACGAGGGCGTTAACCGTGCTAGTTTACACCTGCCAGGCCGGTTAGCAAATTCATCAGTGACACCACCCAGGGGATCAGCTGGCTGCGCGAACCGGGCGGGGCGGACGGGCCAGCGCCTCCTTGACCCTCGTCCACACCGTAATCCTGAGTACACAAGATTGAATAATCAATGGTTTACCAACCCTTTGGATACTGGCCTATTTGTTGCCTTTTTGGTAAGGCCCACAGGCCAGCTTCGAACGTGCGCCTCAAAATTGTCGGAACTAGAGCGTGGCGAGATCCCCGTTCTTGTTGCACTTTCTCAGATGTCTTGCAACAATACTTCTGTAGGACGCAGCTTTCTCAGGTCAAGGACACCTCTTCCCTCGATCACTGCAGCCGCAACGGGGCCATAAGTGCCCACTCTACATGCATAAAGAAGGTGCAAGAACCGGGCTGAGCCCCGAGTACTCGCCCAAGTCACTCGGGATCCAGGCAGGTAAGTCGTAGCGGGCACCTTCTGTAGTCACAGCACCTGCCTGCGCCACTTGCAATCATGACAGCCAGCGAACCCTCTAGACAAAGCTGTCTCCAACGCTTCTGGGCACTCACGATGTCAAACGGGATATACCTCCGGGGCGCCTTGTGCAGCTCCTGCTTCGCCTCCGCAACCTAACAATTAGCAGACCCCAATCAAGAAACCAAAAAGGTAAGAAAACATAATGCGCTTTCTCAAACCGCCCGGGAACTCACGATGTCGAGCGGGTAGAACTTTCCGGGTGCCTTGTGCAGCTCCTGCTTCGCCTCCCACGCTTCCCAATCATTACCGGTCTTCTCGCGGAAAAGCCGTTTGAACTGAACGATCGCCTCCGCCTTGGGCAGCCGCTCGAGCTTCTGCGACCCGATGCGCTCGTTGCCAACGCGGCCCCACTTGCGGAACACGTGGACGGCTTTGTTGGAGTCTTCCTCGATCAGCTGCAGAATGTAGTAACTGCGAGAAGCGGAAAGCGAACTCATTCACCTCGTTGGCGGTTCAAACGGTCTTGCATTCAACTTGACAGCAGGGAATCGGTTACCACAATGAATAACGTGAATTCAGAACAGACTTTGAAAGGCGCAGTTTTTGTAGGATTGTTCGCTTGGTCAATGAGCAAAGCATCACCGATCGAGCAATCCAAGTTCGAGGTCCGGTGAGAAGTTACGCCCACTGACGCCAACAAAATTTGCGTGCGAAAGAGTCGTTGCGCCTGTGCATGAGGAACACTCGTGTCCAGTGAGTCAAACATCTTTCGAGCGAGGTCACCGTTTAAGATTAATCCAATCGTGAATCCTACGGCATCCAAAGGAACCCCTTCAAACCCCGGTCCTCGTGAAGAGCAGAGGCCAGTCCTTGGGAATCGCTGCAGACTCCTCGACCTTCTGTGTGCATTGCAGGGTTCAAAGTCACCTATTGATGCCCGACGCCATGTCGGACATGTTGAGCGTGGTGTTGTAGATGCTCTTCCCCGCCTCCAGGATGTGCCCCGTCTCTTGCAGGCCCGACGCCTCGTGCACCGCGCTGCGGCCCTTCACCTTCACGGTTGACACGCCCTTGTTCTCGATCATGTACTCTTTCAGGTCCAACCGCTGGTGCTTCTCGACGCTGTCCATGAGGAACGTCTCGAAGACGATGGGGATGCGCAGCTCCCTG